AGCGTGTGAGGGGTGTGCCAAAATGGGGCGGGGCCGCCATGCGAGTTCCGCCACTGGGACCTTAGGTGGAGCTCCCAGCCACGAAACGTGTGAGCGGTGTGCCACAATGGGGCGGGGCCGCCATGCGAGTTCCGCCACTGGGACCTTAGGCGGCGCCCCCTATGGGGCCACGAAGCGTGTGAGGGGTGCGCCGACATGGGGCGTGGCCGCCATGCGAGTTCTGCCACTGGGACCTTAGGTGGAGCCCCCATACGGGGCCACGAAGCGTGTGAGGGGTGTACCAGAATGGGGCGAGGCCTCCATGCGAGTTCCGCCACTGGGACCTTGGGTGGAACTCCCTATGGGGCCACGAAAAGTGTGCTGGGTGGATGAAACGCAAGGGAGGAAGGAGGAGGGGGAGGGGAGGCAGCGGGAGGAGAAGGACGGAAGGGGGACGCGGGCGCTGTCTCTCTTCAAAACGAGGACCCAACACCACATGATGGTTGGGAAGAACAGTACGTGCATGCACTTCGCTCCTGGGATTCTCCCAGAAAACTCGTGGGATGTTCCTGGGATGCTTCTGGGGTGCTCTGGGGATGCTCCGGGGGTGCTCCTAGGATGCTCCTAGGATGCTCTTGGGGTCCTGGAGTGGTCCTGGGATGCTCCAGGGGTGATCCCAGGATGCTCCTGGTGTTCTCCATGGATGCTCCGGGGGCGCCCCTGCGAACGCGCAGCGTGAGGACGCTGCGCACATGCACTACCGAAGTACGCTACGCAAGCTCACTACGTAATTACACCAATCAAATCCCACGTGTGGATGGAATAGATACTTCGTAAGCGTTCGACGCGGTAAAAACATCAATACGTAAACAGACCACCTGCGTACGCTACGCTCCTGGGATTATCCCAAAAGGCTCCAGGGATGGTCCTGGGGCGCTCCTGCGACTGCACTACGCGAGGACGCTGTGCAAACTTACTTCGCAAACGCACTGCGCAATTTCATAACGTTCCTGTGAAGCTTCCTGGGCGCTCTTGCGAATTCGCTACCTGGGGGCGATGCGCAAATAAACTGCAAATATGCGCTAAGCAAGTGCACTGTGTGAATGCAGAACGAAAATCGCATGATGGGGTTAAGCGTACTATATGAAACACGTACACCCATTCTGTGGATAGAGACTTCTCTCTCGATGTTCTCCCAGAAGGCCCCTGGGATGCCCCAGGGGAGCCCTCGGGGCGCTCCTGCATATGCGCTACGCGAGGAGGCTGCGCAAATTCGCTGCGCGAATGCACTGCGCTCCTGGCATGCTCCTGGAGTGCCCCTGGACGCTCCCGCGATTGCGCCGCGTATACCACGCACATACACTACGCGAATGTGGGGGGATAGATCTTACGTACACTCACTGCGTAAATGCACTGCGCAGCACACCGCGCAAGAACAAACGAAACCACGATCTGGAAACGCTACGCTCCTGGGATTCTCCAGGGAGGCTCTCGGCATGCTCTTCGGGTGCTCGTAGGGTGCTCCTGGGATTCTCCTGGGGTGCTGTGGGGATGCTCCTGGGGTGCTCCTGGGATGCTACTGGGATGCTCCTTGGGCGCTCCTGGGAACGCGCAGCGTGAGCATGTCGCCAGTACACTACGCACATGCACCACGTGCATCGCATTGGGGGGTGGAACAGACACTACGTAAGCTCACTACGTCAGCGCACTAAGTAAAAACACTACGTTCCTGGGGTTCTTCTGGAAGGCTCCTGGGATGCTCCAGGGATATTCTTGGGGTGTTCCTGCGAATGCGCTTCGTGAGGACGCTGAGCAAATACACTGATTACATGCACTACGCGAATCCACTATGCTCCTGGGATGCTCCAAGGGTGTTCCTGGGGTGCTACAAGGATGCTCATGGGGTGCCCATTGGATGCTCCTGGGATTCTCTTCGAAAGCTCTTGCGAATGCGCAGCGTGGTGTCGCCGCGCAAGTGCACTACGTAACTGCACATCGAATTTGCACTGCGCAAGTACACTACGCTCCTGGGATTCTCCCAGAAGGCCCCTGGGATGCTCCTTTGGCGTTCCTGCGAATGCGCTACGTGAGGACGCTGTGCAAATATACTACGCAAGTGCATACACTACACGACCACGCTACGCTCCTGGGATTCTCCAGAGGTGCTCCTGGGGAGTTCCCTGGGCGCTCTTGCGACAGCGCTACGTGGGCACGCTGCGCAAATTCACTACTCAAATGCACTGCATTAGCACACTACGTAAATCGCATTGGGGGATGAAATAAACACTTCGTCAATACACTAAATACACTACGTGAATACACTACCGGACTGCTCTGCGCATAACACGACTGGGCAACACTACATGAAAACACGACGTAAAATCAACTACGCTCTGGTGTCTCTGCGGGAAGGCTTCCGGGATGCTCCTGGGATGTTCTTGGGAAGCCCCTTGGGCGCTCCTGCGAATACGCTACGTGGGGGGCGCTGCGCAAATACACAACGCAAGCGCACTACGCAAACAAATTACGCAAATACACGACGCTCCTGGGTTGCCCTTGGGATGCTCCTGGGATGCTCCTGGGATCTTCCTGGCGTGCTCCTGGGATGCTCGTGGGATGCTCTTGGGGTGCTCCCTGGGCTTTCTGCGAGTGCGCTGCGTGAGGACGCAGCGCAATGCACTACGTAAAAGCACCGAACAAACACACTGCAGTACGCTCCCAGGATGCTCATGGCATGCTCCTGGGAAGCTCCCCGGGCGCTCCTACGAATGCTCCTCGGGCGCTCCTGGGATGCCCTGGGATGGTCCTGGGATGCTCCTGGGGTGCTCCTGGGGCGCTTCTGCGAGTGCGCAACGTGAGAACACAGCGCAACGTGACGTAACGCAGCGTGATGCTCCTGACATTCTCCTGGGGCGCACCTGCGAATGCGCAAAACAACTTGGATCCACAGCGTAAGCACACCACGAGAGAGCACGACGAGAAGGCACGACTTTCACGTGAACGCAGCATGCACACTGCACTATTCTTATGGCCGTTACGTACGTGCACTACGTAAACAAAAAGTGCGAGCACACTGCGTAATACATTACGTAAGGTAATTGCGCTACGTGAAGACTCTACGTGAGTAGACTATGCGCACGGATTGCGTAAACCCACTACGTGAGCGCACTCCGTAAGGACACTACGTGGGAACACCACGTAACAATACTACGTACAAGCACGACGTAGACGCACTACGCAACAACTCTCAATTACATTACGTAACAACACCACGTTGAATATAAACAGAGTGTTTCAAGTAGCGTTTAGGTAGTGCCTATGTTTTCCCAGTTGGATCAGTTATCCCAACTGCACCCCTGTACTACATTATCAGCTTCAGCTCGTTAGAGCTACCCCTTAAATGCTTCGGCAGCACCGCGAAGCGCTACATATACTTACAACTAGACCTAGGCATGCGTTGAACCATTGTATGCTTAGCCAGATGCGGGCGCTTGGGGCGTCTCTTGAGCTCGTGGCTCTTAGCCTGCTCGCTAAAGCTACGAAGTATAGGGTCTGGTCTCGGTGTAAAGCCATTGGCCAAGGCCTGTATAATCTCAAGAGACTTACAGCTGGACAATATGATGACGAATGTGTTTTGTCTCGTCAGCTCTCCCGCTGGTGGCAAAACTCTATGATGCTGCGTACCCATGCTGATGCAGCGGATATCCGCGCTCCACAAACCAGACGCTACCACCTCAGGATCCAGGCCTGAAGCCACAAGTATCTTCGAGGGTGGCGCTCGCCAAGCTCCCCCCTTGCTGCACTTATAGATCACAATGGAAACAGGTGTCTGTGTGGTACGAACTGCGCGTGCGCGTTCAGCCTTCATGGGCGGCTCAGGGTGGTCGAAAAAACAACCTGTGCCTATCCGGACCGTTCCAGAAAGGGTCTTGCCCTCGAGGATCAAAAGGAGTTGCCATCTCTTCCTCGGCGGAAGGTCGGCGGAAGTAAAACGAGTCCGCCTCCGCCGGCGGTAGCCGGCGGAAGCTGGCGGAAGCTCGGCGGAAGGCAGCAGAAGTAAAAAGTCGACCTCCCAAGAGATGAACACGTTTTTGGGTTCAGGGTTTCCGAAATCGCCCATCTGGTCGATGGGATTCTGTACTCTCCAGGGGCTGGCCCGCTTGGCGCGCCGAGGATCGGAGGGTGCTGCTGTGGGTGTGGTGGGTCTGATGGCATGGTTCACTACAAGAGGTGTGGTTCCCTGCGGTCTCTAGCGATCCCGTGGATTCCATGCGTCTCTAACTTGCCAGGTGCATGGCGTGATCAGTTGTCTGATGATCAGCGTGGGTTGCCGGTCTCGACTCTCGACTACGATGGGACCTGCGTGGGGGCGTGACTATCGATTTCCTTCTTGGCGACACGCGCACGCCAACTCAGCTGGTCCTGTTCGCCGTCCCGATCGTGTCTTTTATGCCCGTCTCGGATTACTCGCTCGGAGATGCAGGCGAGCGGCAGAGGCTCTTGGCGACGCCCGCCCTGGTATCAGACGACGTTGTGTTGTGACCCAGTCCGGAGGACAACGTGAGTTTGGGCACGGCCCCGACCCCCGCCCCCCTCCCAGCGCGCTGTCGTACGTCTCGGGCCTCCCCCTGTCTCCTGCTCTGGTGGCTCATCGCTTGGCCTGGCCCCTCCTCCTCCTCCTCCTCCTCCTCCTCCTCCTCCTCCTCCTCCTCCTCCTCCTCCTCCTCCTCCTCCTCCTCCTCCTCCTCCTCCCCCCTTCACTGCCTCTCACAGCGCGGCGCCACCATAGGGCGCTGGGTCTCCTCCCCGGGCGGCCCCCGCGCGCCTCGGATTAGACCTTTGGGATGATGGCGAGCCGAGGCGCCTCCTGAACGCCAGCCAGCTCCTCGGCGCGACCGCGCGCCAGGAACGCTCGCAGCAGGAGGAGGAGGAGGAGGAGGAGGAGGAGGAGGAGGAGGAGGAGGAGGAGGAGGAGGAGGAGGGAGGGATCGAGGGGACAAGCATCGAGGGAGAGGGCGGGCCCGGAACGAGGGCAGGAGCTTCGGAGGTCTGGCCTCGGAAGATCTCTCTGGGGTCTCCTGGGGCCCCCCGGGCAGATTCGGCGGCCTTCTGCAGTCCTCGGCGGGCGGTTGGAGCCTCTGGGGCCTCTGCGCTCTCTCGGGCGGCTGCGCCTCGTCGCAGGGAGTCCCCTGGGCACGCCGGCACCGCCCCGAGCGGGCCTCCCCCCGCCCAGCCCCGCGGCCGGAGCGCTCCCGGCGGGCCCCGCGGGGGAGGGCGAGCGAGCAGGACAGAGCCTCTGGGCCGCGGGGCACCGAGGATGGCCGGCGCGGTGCTCCTCCCGGCCGCCGAGGGCCTCCTCGCGGACGTCTGGCAGCTCCTCGGCGGGGTCTGGGCGGGGGTCGGAGGGCACCAACTATACACCAACACCGATCCTGGCCAGGATCGGTCGTTGGCCTTCTTGCGCAAGGCAGGAGGGCGTATACACCGATCCTGGGCCCAGGGTGATCCTGGCCAGGATCGGTGTTGGTGTATAGTTGGTGCCTTCCTAGGGGGGCCTGGGCGGGGACCCCGTGCCCGTGGACGTCTCCGCGGCGCGCCCCGAGTCGCTGCTCCCCCTGGCGGTGGCCACCGTGGTGAGCTTCTTCTACCTGCAGGCCATCGAGGCGGCGGGCGCGGTGGTGGCGACCGCGCTCGGGGTGGGGAGCGCCCTGGACCCGAAGAGGCGGTCGGCCAAGCGCGAGAGGTTCTGCACCGCGTGGGGCGAGGCCGTGTACTTCACGGTGCAGGTGGTGGTGAGCTACCGCCTGTTCGGCGGCACCAGCTGGTACTGGCCCTCCGGCTGGGACACCCTGACGGCAGAGAACCTGGAGGGCGATCCCTCCCCGCCGGTGTACCGCTGTGCACGCGAGATGCGAACGTATTATGTGATCGAGTTTGGTTGGTATTCGATGGGTCTGGCGATGCTATTCCTGAAGAAGCGCAGGTCTGATTTTCTCGAGATGCTGTCGCACCATGCCATCACCTCCACTCTCATCTTCACATCCTACACCTACGGTTACATCAGGGTCGGAATCGTTGTGATGACTTTGCACAACTTGTTTGATCCTTTCCTGAACATAGCGAAATGTTGCCACTATGCCTTGAAGGGCCCACTGCACGTCATCGCCGACATCAACTTCGGGATGGCCTCGGTGGTGTTCCTGATCTCGCGATTGCTCATGTACCCAGTCGTGGTCTATAACGTCTGGTTTCATAACATTATGTATCCCGGGAAAGTCCCCGTTTGGGATGCCACTGTCGACCAGTGGATTTGCAAGATCTGCTTGGTCATGCTCTATCCTATTCATCTGTTTTGGTGTTACCTTCTTCTCAAGACTGCGAAGAAGGCGCTCAGAGGTGGTACTGTCCAGAAGGACGAGCGCTCTGACAGCGAAGATGGCGAGGAGCCAGATCACAGCACAGGTAAGCAGGCCGTGAAGGACTGTGACTCAAGTAAGAGGAAGAATGAGTGAGTGTCTTGCGGCAGTCTGCTCTGTTTAGCGGTTGCCCCTTGAGCTCCATGGCCTACTCTTTGCTGGCGCTCCTGACGCTCGCCGCCACCCCCCGACAGAGTTTGTTGTGCTGCTGTGTGTGCGTACCCGGTGACCTCCCTGGCTCTCGCGGGCACCAGTCGGACGAGAGCTGGGGGCGCTGACTTCGAATAATTTTCCAGAGTGCGAGCGCACCTGGTGTATAGCGCGAGGGGGGACGGCCGTCTTTGTTGGCAGGGGCCCTCTAAGAAAGGCCCTGCCTCTCAAAACCATGCGCCCCGCGTCTTTCAGAGGTGGGAGCCTCTTGAAACGTGCGGCCCCCTCGTCACCATGCCCCAGTGTGTGTATGTGTGTGTGCGCCGCAGGTGTGGGCCGCGGACTTGACTGGGAAACATTTTGCACTCCTTACACCAACTCCGCATTCGAGAAACACATGTTTTCCAAGCATACCAGGTGAACACGGAATCGAAGCCTCGAGACTTCAGGAAACGTATGTATTCATTGTCGAATAGGTCCTTCCGCTTCATACGTCCGACAGCTTGCTGATGCAAATCCGCATCGTACATTCCAACATCTGCTTCTGCAGCCTTAGGTGAATTAGTTGTTCGTTGGATATGATTGTCGAACGCTTCCCAAGCAAACCGATCCCGTTCCCTAAGCATGTTGTACAGATACAGCAAACCATTCCCACGTACCTCCAGCAGAAGTCCCACCCTTCCAGAGAGCCCCGTAAGAAAATCTGTTGAGTGTACTTCCTGGTGTTTCGCCGAGGCGGAGTTTTCAATCGTGCACAGATGCTCCCGTTGAGAGAAAGGTCTTCGTCGGCCTCGAGCTTGATCCAGATGTGATCGAGCATTTTGTATTCTGAATTGGTAGCAGGCGATGAACATCAGGGACCCTTATCCATGCGGCATCTTTCAAGAACTATCCCCGCACGCGGAGTAGGATGAGCACCCGACAAAACGCTCTCCAAGAATTGGTCTACCTCTGTCTTATGCCACCCGAGTGAGGCGGTACGTCTACCATCACACCACCCTCTGAGTTCGATCCCAGCAGGAAAGAAAGCCACAGGCGATTCCGGAAGGCCATCCGAATGAAGTGCATCAAACTAGTTCGTCAGATTCTGATTGGTTGCGCGCAAATTTCGACTAGACGTAAGAGTGACCTTTCGCCGGAGTGACCTTTGGTGCGGGCACACATGGGTCCCCAGACAGTTGAAAACGAAGCAGGAGCAGTGGCTTGCGCGCCCAGGTTTGGCCCCCCCGCGGCCCCCGAAAAGCCGCGCACCAAAGATCACTCTTGCCCAGGGTCACTCTTGCGTGTAGCCGAAAGTTTTCCAGCCGAGACGCCAAAACATTCAAATACCAGTGAAGTGCGCACCACATACACTCCCAAAGGTTTGTGGTATCCCAAACCAAGTGATACGATGAAGGCTTAAGAATATGAAAGCGTGCTCCTATTTGTTGTTTCAGAAAGGACGCTCGGTCAGGTTGCGGCGAGACGCGAAACAAACACAATCAGCAGCGGACCTCCATCGAGGCACGCGACGCACGCACGCACACCACACACGCACACACGCACACACGCACACACACACATCTGCACCTCCTCACCGTCCAGCCCTCGCGCGGAGAACCGCGCGAGAGCCCAGTAGCCAAAGAGAAGAAAGAAAAGAAAGAGTCGGCTGGCCCTTCACGGGGCAGTGGCCAGGAGCGGCGCAGGGATGTCGGGGCAGCAGGCAGCGTCTTTGGTATGCGCAGGAGTGCGCGCGCGTGCGTGAACGTTATGCGCATGTTTGTATGTTTGTATGTTTGTATGTATGTCTGTGTATGTATGTATGTTTGTATGTATGGATGTATGCATGTATGTATGTATGTGCGTGTGTACGCATGGATGCATGTATGTGTATAGTTGTGTACGTACGTACGTATGTATGCATGTATGTATGTATGTATGTTATGGTATGTTCTGTAATGTAATGCAATGCGATGCAATGTAATGTAATGCAATGTATTGTAATGTAATGTAATGTAATGTAATGTAATTAAATTTAATGTCTTGTAATGTAATGTAATGTAATGTAATGTAATGTAATGTAATGTAATGTAATGTAATGTAATGTATTGTATTGTATTGTATTGTATTGTAATGGAATGTAATGTATGTAATGTAATGTATGCATGCATGTATGTATGTATGTATGTATGTTGTATAGGTATATCTGGATACGTGTGCGTGCGTATGTTGATGCACATGCACCTACATATGTGGGTTCATATGTACATATACGTGTATACTATACCTATACGACCACCCTGCGGGTGATAAGGAGGTTGGGGGGGGGGAGGGGCCCAGCAATGGGCAACAGTGGTGAATGTTGTTGTGACAGTGCCTGTGGAGATAGTTGCGTTGCCGCTCGCTCTTGGGAGCGTTGGTGTCGAGTTGTTTACGTCACCCTTTGCTCTTTGGCGCCTTGGTACCAGTCGGCCCTCCCCCTGGGAACCTGCCCAACTTGCGCAACGGCAGCTAACGGCGCCATTTGGCAACAGAAGACTGAAGCGCTGGCAAAGCTTGGCGCAGCCCGCGCCCCCTCTTGCACGATCGATCTCACTATCGATCTCTTTATCGGTCTCACTCATCGATCTCACTCGATCAATCTCACCATCGATCTCACAATCGATCTCATCATCGATCTCTCTCGGCCGGTCTCACTATCCCACACACGATCCCACCATGCCGCTCGACACACATGCCGCTCGACACACATGCCACTCTTTCCGTGTCTCCACCCATGCCAGTCGACACGAAGACTCTCTGCGCAAAATCGGCAGCACGGCCGGCCCGCTCACTGTCAAGCCCCAGTGCAGTCCCCTTGAGAAGCTCCACGATGCCTTTGATATCCAGTGCGATCTGCAGCCCCTTAGCGGGATGCGCCAACGCTTCCGTGCTGGTGGGCGGGAGTCGGGTCAGTGTCGATGGGTTGCAAAGCAAGACCACCGACTTCAATGGGCCGCCGATGAAGTCCAACTTGGCTCTGGTGTCGAAGCTCGGGGTCCGGAGCTCCCACACGGAGTCCGCCGTGAATTTCTTGAATGCTTCGGCTGCCGCAGCCTGACTCTTGAAACTGAAGGGCACCGCGCCGAGCATGTACTGCGCGGGCGCGTTGGACACCAAAACGCAACTGAACTTCTGCGCCTCCACTTTTTCGTTCCTCGCTGTGAACGTGTAATCAATGGCCTTCGGGTCGCGGACCCTCACGTACCACTTGGCGTACTTGGCCGTCTGGGTGTTCATGTTCCTCAGCGTCTCCACATTCTTGTCGAGCATTTCGGCTGGCAACGCCTGGCCCCTCGTAGCGAAGCCGAAGGAAGTGCGCGACCGAAGTGGGCGCGTTGGGGGGGGACCCCGCGCGTCGAGCGCAACAAAAGCTTCGAGCCAAAATCCGTGAATGGTGCGAGAATTGACGGTGGTGCCCCGGCGATGGTGATGATGTTGTTGATGGTGGTAATGATTACGAGATGGTGATGGTGATGGCGACCCCTAGACTGGACCCCTGAACCTCTGGAGGCCTCGAGCCCCTGGAGCCCTCGACCCCCAGACTGGACCCTTGAACCCTGGGAGGCCCTGAGCGCCGAGGACCCCCGGGCCCGCAAGGCCCCTGGGGCACCCGCGCCAAGGCCCCTGGGACACCCGAGCCCCCCGGACCCCGACCCAACGTGCTCGGGGCCCTGCCTGTGGACGGCGGTCGCGCAAGGCACGACCGACAGCCGCGAGTCCACGTCGTCATCATCATCATCGACATCACCATCAACATCATCATCATCAGCATCGTCATCATCGTATTCACCATGATCATCAGCATCACCATCATCATCATCAATGTCGTCATCATATTCACAAACATCAGCACCGTGAAGGCCATCATCACCATCAGCATCGCGCAATCGATCTCACATTCGGTCTCACTACCGATATCACAATCGATCTCACAATCGACGTCATCATCATCATCATCAACATCAACATCATCATCATCGCCATCATCAACATCATCATCATCACAATCATCATCATCACCATCATCATCATAATCATCCTCCTAATCATCATCAACATCATCATCGGGACACCGACGGGACACGGACGGGACACCGGCGGAACACCGGCGGGACACCGCGCCGCCCCGGCCGCCCGGAAGGGAATCATTTCGTCCGGCCGCGCCTCAGCCACACGGGACACCAGCGGGACACCGGCGGGACACCGCGGGCCCCCGGCCGCCCGGAAGGGAGTCATTTGGTCCGGCCGCGCCTCAGCCACACGGGACACCAGCGGGACACCGGCGGGACACCGCGGGCCACCGGCCGCCCGGAAGGGAGTCATTTGGTCCGGCCGCGCCTCAGCCACAGGAGACTTTCTTTCGCCCGCCCACGCAGCTTCGCCTCGCCCGCACGGCACGCACGAACACGAAACCGAAACCGATTTCCCGGTAGGGGGGCTCTCCGTTCCACTTCGATCTCACCCCCCAACCTCCGATATTTGTGTACGTGTACGTGTATATTACATATGTATGTAACCGAATACCTTCGAGAATAAACACTAGGGGATAATAAAGTTCGGGGCTCAGGGGGAAATAATCAAAGTAGCCCACCAGACCTCAGCATAATCTCGAAGTAAGAGATGATCAAGAGGAGACCAAGCCGAACACGTTTTGAGACATCCTTGGCGTTTAGTCTTCATAGAAATATCATCAACAATGGTTTATCTCGCTGGAGACATCCTCGACAAATCCCTTTGTTTCGCTTGAGACATCCATAAACTATTGCTTATTTCGCTTGAGGAACCGTCGAACTATTGCTTATTTCGCTTAAGAAACGTATCGTTTCGCTTGAGACATCCTTCAGTATATGCTTGTTTCGCTTGAGACATCCTCGAGTATATGCTTGTTTCGCTTGAGACATCCTCGGAATAGCTCATCCGCCTCGGTGTCCCTGGATAATCAACCGCGGCGATAATAAAGTTCAGGCGGGCGGAGGAATGGAGAAAACGATATACAAAAACAAAAATAATAAGAAACAATAAGAAATGAAACAGAAAAGGGAAAACAATCAAAAAGAAAAGAAAGCAGAGGAGGAGGAGAAGGATAAGGAAACAACTAAAGTTCAAATGTACTAGATTTTATTTACCAGCGTTTTATGAAAATTAAAAGATTTAAATGCTCGTGTAGGGTAGCTCATGTGCTTCATTTTCCATGGATAATCAACCCGAGGGATAAAAAAGTTCAGAGGGGGGGGGGGCATGGAGAGAGAGAGAGAGAAAGAGAGAGAGAGAGAAAGAGAGAGATACATCATAAAGAAAAAGAAAGGAAGGACTTAACGAGAGAAGATAAATTTAAAAAGAAAAGTAGATTAATACATGAAAAGGATAAAGAGAA